CCACGGCACTCACTCTAGCCTGGGCAAAAGAGTGAGACTCTGTTTCAAAAAAAAAAAACAAAGTGAGGCAGCAGCGGGTGGGGGAGCTCACAGGCTAAAAGTGGTTTTAAAGACTCTTTGACTTCTAATTGATTAAGGAAATGAAGCTTTGTCTACAGACTTGTAATGTCTTAAGTTAAAGTAAGGAAGTCTCTTAACCAGAGACAAGCTACTAGCCATATGTTTGTTGTGTAAATGGAAGCCCTGAAGGTTTGTCTTGCAAAGCCTTAGGCCTGTTAATGAGTTACGAAGGACGTCTCCAAGAGCGGAGGGGGTCATGATGAAGCATTTCTGACCTCCCTCCTCATGGCTGGCAATTCAATTTTAAGGTATCTCCTTGGCCAAGAGGGGGGGTCCATTCAGTCATCAGGTGAGGGGGAGCCTTAAGATTTTATTTTAGTTCACACAGTTTTGGTTTTCTTAGTCGTTCTCACATGCTGGGCCTCTACTACTCATCAACTATGTGGCCTTAAACAGGCCATTAAAGTAGTAAATATGTGTTGAGCAGATTCTAAGCTGTGCTCAATGAAGTCACTGGGCTAGATGCTGGGGTTTGTCAGGGCCAGGAAACAGACACAGTCCAAGCAGGCAGAAAACTGTTTACAGGGTAGGGGAACCGAGAGTGATCAACGTGGCTGGGAGGGCAGAGAGGTAGAGAGCGTGGGAAGGGCTCAGGAAGCAAGGCTGGAGAGGTAGGAAGGGGCTAGAACCACCACCCCCGCCCAGTTCTACAGCCTCGACAGGGTAATGATTTTGGTTTTAATCCTAAGTCAGAGACAGGAAGTAAATTAATCTCTCTGAACCTCAATTCTACCTCAAAAAATATGTTTCAGAACTAACTAGCCTGTTAGTCGCCAGTACTAGGTCGAGGTGTTTTTTTTGTTTTTTTTTTAGGTCCAGAGTTAAGAGCAAGGACTTGTGTTTTTACTCATATTTGTGTCGCCAGTGCATAGCACATGGTAGGCGCTTAATCAATGCCTGTTGTATGAATAAGTGAGAGTGTGGACTCCTCCACAGATTTGTTATTAAAACAACCAGTTTAATAGAGTTTTCTTTCTCCGCATTCCTTCCCTCCCCTCCCCGCTCTTCGGTTCACCTCCCTCCGCCCTCCCACGCCCCCTTCCCACTCCTCCAATCCTCTCCCGGCTTCCCGCCTCCCCGTCCCGGCCCCGCCCCCCCGTGAGTCACGAAGGCGGAGGAGGCGAGGCGGGCTTTACGGCAGTCGCGTTGCGGCGGGGCGGGGCGCTGGGCGGCTAGCGTGCTTGGCGGCAGAGGTGGGAGGCAGGCCGGCAGGCAGACGGACTCGCAGGCGGGTGGCGGTGTCCGTGCTCGCTGGTGAGGGCGGGAGGGAGTGACTCACTGAGCGTGTGTGAGGGAGGGAAGGAGCGGGCGAGCGAGCAGCCCGCGCCGTCCTTCCGCAGCGCCAGCCAGGCCACGCCGCCGCCGCCTCCCCTCCGCCCCGCGCCCAGGCCGGGCCGAGCCGAGCCGGGTCGGGCCCGGGCCATGCTGCTCACCGTGTACTGTGTGCGGAGGGACCTCTCCGAGGTGACCTTTTCCCTCCAGGTCGACGCCGACTTCGAGCTGCACAACTTCCGCGCGCTGTGCGAGCTCGAGTCCGGCATCCCTGCAGCTGAGAGCCAGGTACGCCGGGCAGCGACCCGGGGGCCCCCCTCCCGGGGCTAGCCCTCTGCCTTGGGGCCTCATGCTCTCCCTTTGCTACTGGTGAAGCACTTGGGGGGTGGAGGAGAGCAAGGATAGCCATTCCCAGCTCGCCTCCGCATCCGGGAGGGAGCTGGAATTGGTAGCTGCCCCCACACACCCTGAGTGTGGGGTGGGGTACGAGGAGAGGGAGCAGAGAACCTGACCGCAGACGCACCCACTGCAGCATGAGGGGTGCGTGAACTGTCGAGTAGCCCTACCCACCTTCTGGCTTTTTGGCCCCTTCTCCTTTACTAATCCAGAGTTTGGGGTGTAGTCGTGGACCTAAGAAGCAGTCTTGGATTTGCAAGGGTTCGTACATCCTGCTTCACCAACCAGAAATACCAGTTTGGATCGCTGTGGTAGATAGATGTTCATCTGCTTTTTTGAAGAGGGTTCCTGCTTAACTATACACAATTTGCCTTTAAATGTACAGGTTTGCTCTTTAGATGAAGGAGAAAGTTTGAGACTTGACACTACCTCGTTTTGAGGTCTTTGGAGAGTCCTCTTTTCCATACCACATGCGTTTGTGGTTAAATTATTTTTAAAAACAGTAATTACTTAACTCAAACTGTTTCTTTCGGTTGTTCCCTGGTAGTGAGCCAACAATCCCTCTTTCTTTCAGGTAACAGTTCAGAGTTTGGGTCAGTTCAAAGCTTAGTGCTTTGTAAGGATATTTGCTTGAAAATGGCCTAGTATATTTATATTCTCAGTGCGATTTCGTGGTTTCATTTCCCTACACGGCTTGCTGGAAAGAAGTTCAAATCGTCTTACATCTTAAATAAGCAAAGTCATTTATTTTCAAAACGCTTTAGGGCTTCCACTAGTCTTTATCAAACAGAATTGGCGACAACAGCTCTGTGGCCTTTACACTAAAACACTTAGATCCTGGCTTGATTAAGTGAGTCTGGGAGGATATAGTCTAAACATTAAGAAAATTATAAAAGTCTTCTAATGCCCCAGAATGTAAATGTTGATTTTCTACTGCAGTTAGGAAATAGTTCCAAAAACTATTACCCAATTACAGCTTGTTCTGCTGTCTTATGGTAAGCAAATATGTCAATATTTTGTTCAGAAGTATGATTCCTTTACACAATGTGAACTTTAGAACCTTGGCATAAAGCTATTCAGAAAGAATTTATTTCAGGGCACAGAGTGTCACTCAATTACGCAGGCTGGCAAAGGCTACAAAGAAATTGTTAAAAGG